CATTGACTGATCAGCATCGTCCTCCAGTGCCAGGTTCTCATCCTGTTCGCTTGCACCCTCGGATGACATGCTAATAACCAAATTTCGATCCATCTTATTGGACCCTTTTGGCAATCTCTTTGCCCCATTGGCAACTTGCCAACTGCAACCTTCCAATAAATTCGAGTCAGAAGGCCTTTCACCAGCAATTGCTGAAGGTCACTCCTCACCGGACCACCATCCAACATCTTCGCATCATTACCACGGAGATCATTGCTCCCGCCTTCTCCTTCTTTTTGGTCGGTCTCCTCGCCAGAAATCTGTACTGCTCCTTCCGGCGCCGTCTCCTGTCCAGCCACTTCATGCCCAGGAAGAACTTGAGCGCTTTCAGAGACATTCACCTGTCCAGCAGCACCTTGCCCAGGTAAAACCTCATCCGTGGAGCCCACCGCCAGCGAACCAACCATAACTGAACCATCCCTTGTTCTTTTTTGAGACCGTTCAGCTCGACGAGAAGGTTGTGGTAGCGAAAAAACTTGAGAAGTCACTTCTTGGCGGGTCTCCCCCCGCGACGCTTTGTCGCGCCCTTCGCCAAGGTGAACCGATTTTTTCGGCCCAGCATTGGAGCCTGAAGAACCACTTTGTGGAACCTTGCCACGACTCGCAGTTCTCCACGAATCCCTTTCTTGCAAAAAGAGTTCCTTCAGGCGTTGTACCGCATTGGTCTCCTCCTCGCTTGAATCGCTTGAGGAAGCGGCATACGAGACCAAAGCCTCCGCCGGGTCATCATCATCCACCACATCTGCCCACGCTCTGCTGAATGGATACGACAAACCACCACGAGGTTTCACCGGCTCCAGTGGCTTCGGTTTTTCCACCACTTCCGCCAGTTGCACTCGTCGTTGTGACCGAGATCGTGGCACCTGTCGCACCTGTTTTTTGTCCAGCAAGGGCCTTCCCTTCTTACAGGGTTTGATCTTGACCGATACTTTTTCGTTGGTGGATTCACCGGCGGCATTCCAACTCCCACCAACCGCAGCTTCTGTACGCACAACGGAGACCTCTGCGCAAGCGTCCAACCATCACGGTACCTGACCTTATCAAAAAGCTCCCGATAGGAACCTCTCGGCATAGTTTTTGCACCGGAGTCTTCAGCTTCACGCACCTGAGTGAGGGGTCGCACCGCCGCTCTTCCAGTCCCTTTGTTCCCAGAAGATTGTTGTACCCGTACAGATGCATCAGAAGGAACTGCCTTTTCCGGTCCTCCCGGTCGATATCGGACATCACCCACCAATTGCAGAATTTTGCATGCGGTCACTTTGTTGATCCCTTTGTCAACCAAATCTTCCACAAAGATGAACTCTTGCAAGTCCGACACATTGGTCACCCCAAGCGTAATCATCACCTCACTTACATGAGGGGTATACACCCACAGGTGTGCGTTGCGAGCCATCCAATTTTCAATCGGCTCCTCCGGATTGTAAAGCTGAGTACTAGTGGATGCAGCCACCGAATTCTTTTGCTCATCAGCTTCTACTTCATCCAGAATACCTTTTTCACCATCTTTTTGTGACACATTGGTCATTTGCAGCGCTTTTGGTGCCGAGGATGAGGAAGATTCAGCTCCCCCACTCGCAGGTGGCTGAAAAGTGCTTCTATCCGTAAGCTCCCATCCTCTCTCTTTTTCAAACCGGACCTGATTGGCCACCTGTACCAAGTGTTTCAGGAGCGACAACCGCTCCTCTGACATCTCGTCATGGGAGTACTTGCAGAAATTTAACCCTTTCCGGCAACGTCCTCTGAGGTAATAATCGAAACAGCAATGGTGGAACCCTGCGTCCCTTAGTGACTTCCTGGAAGCATTGTCCCAAGCTTTGCCGGGCTCCCAAGTCCCTTCCAATGCTACATCATCGTTGTGAAGGTACCTGCATGCAGTCCCATATTTACAACCACCTTGATTGTAATACAGACACAGCCGACCTTTTGGCTCACCTGACGTAGGCTCACCCTTTGATGCACCTTTGCCAAAATTGTACTTGGCCCGGAAGGCTAAATCCTCCCGCTCCTGCTGTGCCTCATCCACTGTACCTTCCTCTGTGGGAGGGTCACCGATGTTCCCGTCCTCATCATCAGCTTCTTGGCTATTCTTTGGATCAGTTGACCCCCCTTCTGGCCAACCTTCACCGTACCGACGATGCTCATAGGGACACCCATCGCCATTGCGACACCTTCCCTTATTGAAGAACCTGCACAGCTTGCTGTAACCAGGTGACAACACCGTCTTTGGTGTCATGTAAGCCTTTTTGTACTGGTCAGGATCCATGTAGGCTTCCATTGGCTTGTTCTCCCTTTTGCTCATGGATTGCACTGCACCATCAAGCTCCTGCAAAAATAGCTTGGTGTCCAACCAAAGCGCGTTCCAAAACTCATCTTCCCCTTGATTCAGCACCGTTGCCACCGCTTCACCCACAACTGGTCGAGAAAATCTCCTTTTTCTACATGCCAGTTCGAAAAGCGCGTTGTGGTACTGTTTTCGGGAAAAAGTGGTTAACTTCCCCAAGCCTGTGCTTTCTGTACCATCAGGCTTCCAACCATCATTTTGCAAGATGCCATACGCGCGCCGAGCTTCCGCATTGAGGAATGCCTGATCCGCAACACACTCCTGTAAATCTTCCATCGGCCGACCTAACAGCATCCCAGTAATTTTGCCAACATAGGCTTCCTCTTCATTTCCATTCTCCAGAAGAGCTTTGTAGATCTTTTCTCCATAAAGTTGCCTTTCTTTTCGTTCTTCAGAAGACAACTCCTGTACCACAAGCTCTTCATCGGATTGCTCTTCCTCCTGTTTCCAGTCCCATTGACCGTTGGAATCTTGGTACCATTGACCAGCATACCATGAATCCGTCCACCACGTACTCCAGCCGCTGGGTTTCCACTTCCGCAGCGTCGAAGAAGAGTCCTCCACG